TTAAGCTAACTAATGCAGCACTGTGGTACTAAAGAATCCATATCTGCTGTGTGTAGTTCAAGTGACACCTTCTGCAGTGCTTTTAAACCCTCCTATATAAAACTCCCAGGAAAAACAGGTCCTGCAGAGTCTGATCTGAACACATATAGAAAGTCAGACTTTTCAACAAGTTCTAGAATAAAAATGGTCAAATGGTCTGTGGAACACAGTTTTGGAATTTTTTTTTAAACAGAGTTCTAAGCAAAAGTCACAACCAACTGTCACGCAATGAGCACGGCTGCAAATTCAGAATGAGGTCTTACTGTCTGTTTTTTAGCTGATTTGGGTTTTGGGGACTGACGAGCTTCCTGTGATGGCAACAGCGATATAAATAAGTCATTACCTGCGAGCAGGGAAACGTGAAGAGGAAGTGATTCACAACCGCTCCAAACAGCCTCAAGAAACACCATTTGGCATAAAGCTTTGTTTTTGTTTTGTTTTGTTTTTCTGAACCAGCAAATGTACTTAGTGTGTCTAAAGTCTCTCTGAGGATAGGATCAAGAATCTGATTTCTAGCCGGTCGTTGGTGGTGCACACCTTTAATTCCAGCACTCAGGAAGCAGATGCAGAGGCAGACAGATCTCGGGCAGTTCTAGGCTAGCCTTGTCTGCAGTGAATTCCAGGACTGCCCAGGATACCCACAGAAACCTGTCTCGGGAGAAAAAAATCTGATTTCTGCCAACCACAATAAGGAATAAGGTTAATCAAGTCCATGCTGAGTGTTATTTTAACACACCCAAGAAACACAGAAACCTGATCAATGCTTTAAAATTTGTTAGAAATAGCCCAGCATGGTGGTTCACGGCAGCCTGGCCTACAAAGCCAGTTCCAGAAGAACTAGAGTTACAAAAAAGAAAGACCCTGTCTCAATAAAAGGAACAAACTGTTAAAAGTATTTAAGAATAGTTCTAGTTTAAATTTCAAGATGTCTTAGAACACAAACTGAGTTTCTAAGGTTTAAGGAAAATACTGATGATTAAAACAAAAGTAAAGATAGAAACTTGATGAAAAGTCCTTTCAGCTTTTCTACAACAGCCACCTGGGGAAGGGGTGGGGTTAAGAGATTAGCAGAGTAAATCCTAAAGCTAACACCAGGACGTCTGCTCTGCAGTCCATCACCGAGTGCTGCCAAGTCCAAAGCAGAAAGATGCTAAAGAAATGGCTGCTGTGGAGACCAAAACAACTCCGTTAACAGTCAGGCGACCCGCCACTCCATTTACACGCGGCTTGTGACCCAGGAATCCCGAGTGGGCGGACTTCCTCCGGCTCCCAACGAGCAGTCCGCAGCCTACGCTGAGCCCCGTTCTCCGCCGCCTGCTCTGACCGCTGCGCCCCCGCTTCCAGAGCAACCAGGAAAGAGTTTTAACTCACAGCCTCACCTGCAATTTCTGCAAGACGCGCTTCTCTTCTTCCTCTTCATCAGCCATCATTCCAGCCACCTTCGGCTTCTCCTCCCCCAACTTTGTAACCACAGAGACCCAGCCATTCTCGCGATGAAACAACAGCGACATCTAGGGCTCTGGAGGCCCACCTGCCCCCGGAGACGAGGCTGTTGCCAACTTAACCCAAAAGTGTGCTGCTCCGAGACGTCCTACAACCGCTTTGGGGTTTTGCTTTGCTTCGTTTTTGTTGTTTGGTGGTGGTGGTGGTGGTCAGACTACCCTCATTGTGGTTTTGTAGTCAAGGCTGGCTTGGACAGCCCGATCCTCTGGCCTCAGCCTCCCAGCTGGGATAACAAGCACATACTGAGTTTGTAATCACTTTGTTTCATAAACTTCCTTCCCAAATTCCGAAATCAAAATGTTCTTAGATTAATTATAATCAAATTTTTGTTTCGTGTATTCTTGCCCTTGCTTCTATCGCTCTTGAAAACCGAGAGCGGTGTGAAAGCACACGCGTTGGGTGGTGTTTTGGAAGGGAAGGTACTACAAGGCTAACTTATCTGAATATTTCGCAACTTTGAAGATTTCTGCACGTGTAATTTTTAGCATTTTTAATGCATTATCCTAATAAGTCTACTACATTTGGGATGGCATGCCACTATAATGTTCTCATATTCATTATTTCAGAAAGGGAACATAAGATACAGTCTGACGAGAGAAACAGGTGGGCCAAGAAAACTCTTCTTACTGTATTTTCCAATTTTTATTAAAATTTTATTTAAAATGTTTATTCAAAAATAAACATTTTAAATCTTCTGCCTTTTTGAGACAGGGTCTCAGGTATCTCAAACTGACCTGGAACTTGCTCTGTAGCCAAAAATGACCTTGAATTCCCGATCTTCCAGCCTCCACTTCCCAAGTGTTGGGACTGTAGCCTTTCATTATTATAGCTGACATTTATTTTAATTTTTAAGACAGGATCTACCTATTTAGGCTCAGCTGGTCTGGTAGTCTATGTAGACCAGGTCCTCAAACTCATGGACACCCCCGTCTCTGCCTTCTAAATACTGGGATTACAAACATGCATCACCACATCCAGCTGCAATGAAAAAAAAATTTTTTTTAACCATTTGCTAAAAGACAATCTCTGCAAAGAGGTATTAGACACTTCCAACAGTAATTACTTCCAAAGAGGCTGAGCAGCAGAAACAAAGAAGGGATAATTTCCCTCTCCTTTTCTCCTACCTTTTAAAGGAAAAAAAGAGAGAGAGAAAGAGAGAAAGCCTTCTAAGGGACGGTAGAAATGGCTCAGTAGTTAAGAGCACTCACTGGCTGTACTTCTAGAGGACCCTGGTTCAATTCCCAGCATTCAAACTGCCCCTCACACCTGTCTGTAACTCCAGTTCTACGGTATCTGACACCCCACATAGACACACATGCAGACAGAACACAAATGCACAGAAAATAAGAAATACATCATAAAAATAAAAAGCCTACCATGCAAATTAAACTCTTGAACAATTTTAAAGAAACAATATTCCTGAAAGTTTATATTTTTAGTTTCAACTATTGTTGTATTTCAAAATGCTCAAGATACCTATTTCCTCATACCCTTTCCCAGCAAAATTGAAAACCTCATTAGAAAAAAAAATTCTATTTTATACTATAACCTGTAAAATATATTTCATTAGCTATAAAATATGGATTTTTTTACTTTTGGTCCTGGTATTAAGTGCCCCAAGGAGGTAGGCACTGTCATCCGAGAAGCATCATCTTCATCCTTCCACAGTCCCTGTGCAGAAAGGCTGCTGGGGGAACAAGATTGGCAAGCCCCACACTGTTCCTTCCATGCAAGTGGACAGGCTGCTGTGGCTCTGTGCTGGTGTCTCATCTCTGTCCCCAGAGGCACTGGCTTTGTCTTTGCTTCTGTGCCCAAGAAACTACTGATGATGACTGACTTTGATGGCTACTACACACCAGCCAGGGGCTGCACTGCCACCCTGGACAACTTTGCCAAGCCACCTTTGGTGCCATCTCCAAGACCTGACCTCTGGAAAAAGATTGTGTTCACCAAGTCTCCTTATCAGGACTTTACTGAGCATCTTGTGAAAGTCCATACCAGTTTCTGTTCAGAGGACCAAGACTCCAGCTGTGGCAACCATACAGGGCTTTTATACAAGAAAAATAAAAGTGAATTAAATCTGGAAAAATGGATTTTTAAATTTTATTTTTAAATTATGTATATGTGTGTCTGTGTCTGCACGTAGATACATGCCCATGAGTATAGGTACCCTCAGAGAGCAGGAGAAGGGATCAGACCCCTTGGACCTGGAGTTACAAACAGTTATGAACTGTCTAATATGGGGACAAGGAATTGAACTACACATCTCTCAAGCTGGATATGCTTAATCTTTTTTCACTATACACCATTTTTACTTTGAGATTTAATAAAATAAAGTTTTAAGCCAGGTGGTGGTGGAATGGTGACACACGCCTTTGATCCCAGCACTCCAGTAGAGGCAGGCAGATCTCTGTGAGTTTGAGGACAGACTGCCGTACAGAGTGAGTTCTAGGACAGTCAAGGCTACACAAAGAAATCTAGTCTTAAACACACACACACACTGGTCTATTGTTCTAAGGAAGCGTGTAACCTCAGGACTTGGGAAGTAGAAGCAGGAGAATCTGTTCACAAAACAGGCTAGACTGAGAAGAACCAAAGACAGTAAACTCTGTTGTGTAAAGCAATAGTATTTTCTACGGTGACTAAACATGAAAATTCCTCAAGCGACTTCAATGTGACTCTTACTACCTCAACAGCAATCTGACTTAGCACTTAGGATAATTCTGTAATTCGTCCCAGGAAAAGTGTTGGAAATTATGTTAATTACTATATCATAACTCTTAAGGTCGGTAGCACTGGCATGGGAATGGCTTCTGAGAAATGCTGTTTCAAGTTCGCCTTCACAAATCAAACCTTCACCTAATCTGTGATCAAGTTCATAACACACTTTGAGGTCATTTATAACCATGCACCTGCTCTATCTAGACTCTACATCCACTCTGTGCAGAATTAACTGACCTAAGAAAACACTGTGATCCACCTTACTGTACTCTGGACTTCCAGCATAACTCCAAGCTCAGCAGAACGGGCAATTTTGGTGCTGTTCTTACTCAGCAGAGCCATAAAAACCATTTTCTCCCTTAGGAGATTCACATAAAAGATTAAGACAAAAGCTCCTGGTTGTAGCCCTGGCTGTCCTGGAACTCACTCTGTAGACCAGACTGGCCTAGAATTCATAGATCCACCTGCCTCTGCCTCCCAAGCGCTGGGATTAAAGGTGTGTACCACCACAGCCAGCTCCTCATTCCTTTGTATTACCACATTTGCTGTGCAGTTTAGCAAAGACAACCTTTGTTCAGCATTTTAGATTAGGTGATTAGAACAGTTGAGATTAAGTCTTTGCATTCTTGTGCACATGCCCACACAGAGACATACAAAATTACAAATAAATATAAATCTCATTAAAAAGGAAATGCATTCCCAAATAAACATGCCAACAACTGTTAAAAAGGCTAAGAAGCAGCTTTATTTTAAAACAAATACCAATTAAATCAGCAAATAGCTTTTATCAAGGTAAATTCTTTTTAAATAGAAACTGAACACATATGTATCAAATTGCACATTCATTCACTGGTACAAACACACCTCCAAAACAAGCTAATACAATGAAAACACATGACTGTGTATAACACAAGCAAAGAGCAAGACACTATTTTCCAAGACCATCATTTTACCTAAATATACTGGCAGGTAGAGAAAATCAATGCACACACTTAACATATGCGTACTAGAATCCAAAGCACTCTGTAAATACAACACTGGCGCTCACAGAAGCGTAAACAAGCTTGGTCTGATAGGGATCTATGATAGGCAGGGTTGTGACTGAGTGAGCAGTGATAAACTAGAGATGAGGTTCACGGAATAAATGGATGAAACCAAACCGGAAGGCACACACCCACAGCACGCCAGCTCAGTATGCAAACAGAGATGACTGGAACGTGACCCGAGCTAGACTAGACTCTCTTGGCTTTAAAGGCCCTGCTGCAGACCTGCTGCTCTGCTTCCTGGTTCTGAGAAGCAAAACTAAAGAAGCTGTTAGTGGGTTCCAGGACTGCAGGAGAATCCACAAAAAATGGTCTGAATTGAACATCTTCGTCTCCACCACCTCGGCTTTCAACTGGTGTGCGGTCCAGAGGAAACTTTGAGCTGTTCACTAGGGGAGAGAATTAAGGAAGAATGTAAGAATATTCCTAATAGATCTCTAAGTACAAAATAATAGCCATTGAATAAATATTTAACACAATTTAACTCCTATGAGATGGAGAAAATAATTATCTTAAACTCATCTCCTGTGATAAGATAAAAAAGACGATGTCACTCAGCTCTTCCCTACCACAGAACACACAATAGCTTCTGTGAAAATCAAACAGACTGAATAAACATCTGGCTAATCCTACCAGACCCTTCCTCGGCTTTAACGGACTTCACTGAGGAGGAAAAAGCTGATTGTATCTCCTAAAAATAAGAGGGGTCAAAAGCTAAGTACAGGGCTAGAGAGAAGCTCAGGGGTTAGCAGCAGTGCTGGTCCTGCAGCAGACCCAGGTTTGGCTCCTACCACTCACGTAGTGAGTGGGTCACAACCATCCAGTTCCATGGGATCCAACACCCTCTTCTGGCTTCCATTATCAGTACACGAGTGGTACACACAGGCAACACATATACATAAAAAAGAAATCTTTCTTAAAATGTACAAAAAAGAATAAAGAAACACATACAAGGACAAGAAAACTGTGTACAACAGCCATTTGGAATGACTAAATTATTGAGGAATAATCTTTTTGTACACTGTGAAGATGTGTCTTTGGCAAGGCGCCCTCTGATTGGCTAGTCAAGTAGAGGTTAGGTAGGACTTCTGGGCAGAAAGAAAGAAAGAGGAGATGAATCTAGCCTGGGGCGGGGAGTGGAGACCCAGGGAAAAGAGGAAGTACAAGATGGAAGAGAGGTAAAAAGCCATGAGGCAAAACATAGATTAATATAACTGGGTTAATTTAAGTTATAAGAGTTAGTGGGATAAGCCTAAAGTATAGCCAAGCTTTCATAATTAATCACGAGTCTCTGGGTCGTGGGAGCTGGCATACAGAGAAAGACTCGCTACACAAAACTGCCGTTTATACATAAAGAAGCTAAGCAGAAAACCTCATTTTCAGATTGATCTCACTTGAGTACTGAAACTAGTTTGCAGACCAGCTGGTCTCAAACTCACAGAAATCCACTTGCCTCAGGTTCCTGAGTCCTGGGTCTAAAGGTGCACAAGCACAGTGTCAGGCAGGAACATCCTTATTTATTTGCTTTTGTTAGACAGGGTCCCACTATGTAGCTCTGGCTGTCCTGGGACTCCAGATCCATCTGCCTTTGCCTCCCATGGGCTGGACTAAAGGTTTGCACCACTAGACCTGGCCACGAGACATTTTGTTTGTTTGTTCTTACCACCTCATCCCCATTCTAGAACATCATTTTCTCTCACTGAACCTTTTTTCTTAGCCTATAATTAACGTCAAAATTTGAGTACTCGGAAAAGTCTACCACCAAAGACTTCAATGTTTGTATGCCAATTTATACAATTATATTAATATTGAGAACAAAACTACTAGATTCTATTGCTATCAAGGCAAAGAGTGGGAATGAGTCACCCACCTATCGACAAAGATCCTGAGTCAGCCTAGATTTTAAATTGCCTACTTGAACAACAGTCGCATCCTCACTACTTAGAATCATGCCCAAGAGTCAGGCACAGGAAATATATTCGGTAATTATGTCATGACTGAATAAGCAATTAAATGATCAAAAGGCAAAAACAAGAACTGTGCAGTCTGGACCACGAAGATGGTTCAGTGAGTAAGGGCACTTGCTACCCAGCCTGACAACCTGAGTTCAGTCCCCAGGAACCACTTGGTGCATGGAGATTCATGCACGTTGTCCTCTGACCTGTCCATGCGTATTGTGGCACATACACAATGCCCCACAGACACACAGACACGCACACACAGACACACAAAGTAAATAAATGTAATGAAATAAAAACACATTTTGGCATGTGAAAGAAACTAGAACACGGCCTTATTGGCTAATGACAGGAGCTGGCGAAGGGAATCACAGGAAAACACGAAACAGCAGTGCTTAGCGCCCCCAACAAAAAAGTTACAGCTCGGATTAACTACTACCATCAAATAGCTAGCCGTGCACAACTTCAACATTTGTTTTACAGAGATTAATTAATTCTGCTCAAATTGACAATAATTTAAACTAGATATGGTAGCACACTGCTTTAATCCCAAGATTTGAGAGCCAGAGGCAGGCAGATCTGAGTTTGAGGACAGTGATCCACACAGTGAATTCCAGAACATTCAGAGTTGTGTAGAGACCTTGTCTCAAATTAAAAAAAAAAAAAAGGTAATTTAAATGTATGCAAATACAACTGAGAGCAATAGTGTGCAGAGTAAGCAAGGAATCCACAGCTCACCACGGCTCACCACCCTCAAAGTGTGCAAAATTATAGTTTAAAAACTAGGTGTTGGGTATTAGATCCCTTCTTACCTAATGGAAAGCCAAAGACACCGGACTGTGTGATCGTAGCTTGTTCCTGGGAACCCTCTTGGCTAGCAATAGTGATATTTCGTAGCCTAAGGCTATCATAAAGGCCTTGGAGCTTTTGATACTGGCGATTGCGCTCCATAAGTTTTTCAGAGATATCACTAAACTTTTTCTTGTATTCTTCTAGAACTTTCTTCATGGAGGTGACCTCTCCTTTCATAGAGGTCAATTCTACATCTTTGCTCTGTATTTGCTGTGTATATATCTTTTCCATCTGCTTCAGATGGCCCTCAGCCTTGCTAAAATTATATTCTTGATAGAGACGTTCCTGGTGCACCTGTGCAATAGAGAAGCAGCACAGCATTACACACTTTAAAACCTCATTCAAGCTCAAGTGGAAAGGATGCTTATACAGGGATACCATTTTCACAATATTTAAAACCAGGTTAAAAACATAATCATGCTGGGCAGTATGGTACACATTTTAATCCCAGTACTTGGAGGCAGAGGCAGGTAGATCTCTGTGGGTTAGAGGCCAGCCTGGTCTACAGAGTGAGTCAGGACAGTCAGGACTACACAAGGAAACCCTGTCTCAAAAAAAAACAAACAACAAACAAAAAAAAACCATAATTACAACATACAGCGAGGTGATTACAGAAAATGGGCTACTCAAAAAATCATATCAAAATAAGTATGCCTTATCTGCGAGTAACATATATCCTAAAAGTTCTAAAGAAATGCAACACAAGTTAGGTGTGAAGGTTTATGCATGTAGTAGTCACAGACATAGGAACTGTGCAGGAGGATCAGTTCAAGGTAAGCCATCTCAGTTATGGTAAGTTCAAGGCCATCTGGGCAACAGGAGTCAAAGCCAAGAAAAAAATACATGTTTACATGATACATGCACACATATGAAGTCCAATTTCTGAAAAATCCAGAGTTATAAAAATAAGACCCCCTATATCCTTGTAGGAAATATTCTTATTTCCTAAAATTTACACACATGTAACCCATGTTGGGCAGAACCTGTAACTAGAACATAGCAAACAAAACAGAAGGTCACTTCTCTGGTACATAAGACCGCAAAGTCTATCTTCCTTGGAGATGCCTTCTTTGCTGACTGGAAAAAGAAGTCCTGATGGGAAAACCTAGAATGGGAGCAATTGCAAAATACTGAGTCCCACAAGATTAAGTCAGAATGAATCAGACCTGAATACAAACTGCAAATCAACTTGTAGGCGATAACACAAGGGAGATCTGGCCGGATGGTGGTGGTGCACGCCTTTAATCCCAGCACTCGGGAGGCAGAGGCAGGTGGATCTCTGTGAGTTCGAGGCCAGCCTGGACTACAACAGCTAGTTCCAGGACAGGCTCCAAAGCAACAGAGAAACCCTGTCTCAAATAAACAAACAAAAAACAACCCACAAGGGAGATCTAGAGACTTTGAAGTCGGCAATGACATTTACATTACCTATTTTTCTGTTGCCTGAACGTATGAGTGATGTGGTATTCCCCTCTGTATGCTGTGAACACCACTGGTTAAGAAGCTGCTTTGGGTCTATTGCAGCGTAGAACAGGGCAAGGTGGGAATTCCAAGCAGATAGAAGAGGAGAGAGTAGACAGAGTTAAAGAGACAAGATGCCAGAACTTTATCTGGTAAGCCACAGCTACGTGGCAATACACAGTTTAATAGAAATGAATTAATTTAAGATGTAAGAGCAACCTAGGAATATGTAGTCATTGGCCAAGCAGTGTTGCAATTAATATAGTTTCTGTGTGACTATTTCAGGTCTGGGCAGCTGAGAAACGAACAAGCAGTCTCCGCCTACATATGTGCACCAGTCAGAAGAGGCTTCTGATCCCCTGGAACTAGAGCGCTGCATGGCTGTGAGACACGGCTGTGAGTTACTGTGTGTGTCAGGAATCAAACCCAGGTCTTCCATGAAAGCCACAAGTCCTCTTCGCCAGTCAGCCATTTTTCCAGCCCCACCAATGACTTTAAGACAACACCAAAAAAGTCACTGCTAAGATGTTTATAAAATATAAATCTGTACTCCATGAAAGACACTGTTGTAAGAAAAAGACAAATTACAGACTGGGAGAACACATTTGTAAAAGATCTGAAAAAGGGCTGCTACCCAAAATAAGAAAGATCGTTTGAATGGCAATAACAACAAAACCACAACATAAATGGGCAAAGTCAGGGTATGGTAGCTTATGCCTTTAATTACAGCATAGCCAACATAGATAATTCCAGACCAGCTAGTTACATGAGACCTGTCCCAAAATTTAAACAAAAGCCTGAAGACCTCCTCAGTTTAACATCAAGACTGCACATGATGGACAGACCCAATTCCCACAACTTGTTATCTGACCTATGGATCAGGAACATGCACACACACTAATAAATGTAAAAATAGGCAGAAAATGAGCATAGGTTCCTGTCATGTTTCAAGAAAATGTAAAGTGATTCCACTCTACCTCATTAAAATGGTCAAAATGATAATCTGTCATTTTGGGCAGGAATGCAAAGTTGTAGTGCAGGCACTCTGGAAAACAGTTGGGTTTCCTACAAAAAAACAGGGTCAGCGCTGAAGAAGTGCTTGGCTAGCATATGCAAGACCCTGGGTTTGATCGTTAGCACTACAAAAACATTCTCGCCTGGCGGTAATGGTGTATGCCTTTAATCCCAGCACTCAGGAGGCACAGGCAGGTGGATCTCTGTGAGTTCGAGGCCAGCCTGGTCTACAGAGTGAGTTCCAGGACAGGCTCCAAAGCTACACAGAGAAACCCTGTCTAGAAAGACAAAAAAATAATCTCAAGCTGGGGTTGAACAAATGTGTAGGTAACTGCCACACAGTATAGACAATAAAATTCAAGTATAAGTACAGACAGTTTACTTGCAAAATATAAAAACAAAAATATCTACTTAGCACATGATAAATACTTGCAATAAAAATTAGGTGAGAATATTTAAAAAAAGTTTTCTATACATGCATGTGTTTATAAGAAATACAAATATAACAGTGAAGGGACATTTTAAGGAAATCCCTCAGAAGGGAGTAGACATTTAGCACAATGGTAAAGCACGTACCTTTTAAGTACAAAACCTTAGATTTGGCACTACCCCACACCAAGAGGAAAAAAGATCATACATAGGCCTCAGATTATACTTCAATGTACATGTGTGTTTGTGCACATGGAGACTGACGCCTGCCATCAGCCACCTTCCCCTCATGTGAGAGCCCCACTCTCCACGGACACAGCACTTTACCCATGGAGACATCTCCCAGCCCCTAAGCACTAACCTGGTATGTCCAGAAGGCCAATGCTCGGGAGCTGATGTCCAGCACAACCTCTGGCCGAAGCCCCGCCAGCACCATTGCTTTATACTCCTCTGACGGACTGAGCTCTGTGCGGACAATGTCTAGCTTTCCAGAAAGGGTGCTGTTGCAGGCAGGGCAGAGAGCTGGTGAACGACTGAACTCACCACTGCCGTGCTCGTCACAGAAGATGTGAGAGCAGGCAGTAACCCAAGCATAGCCAGAGAGTTTGAGACGACATTTTCGATAATTGCAAAGCAACATGTCTTCGTACAAGGACATGGTAATAGTCTCCAGAAGAAGAATCCTAACAAGGAATAAATGAAAAAAGTCAAATTGCAATGAATATGAAATTTTTATATGTACTTTTATTTTGACCAAAAGTGGACATTTTTTGTATTTATTAAAATGATATTAGCTGGACGGTTGTGGCACATGCCTTTAATCCCAGCACTTGGGAGGCAGAAGCAAGTGGATCTCTGTGAGTTCGAGGCCAGCCTGGTCTACAGAGCAAGTTCCAGGATAGCCAGGGCTACACTGAGAAATCCTGTCTCGAAAAACCAAAACCAAAAAAAAAAAAAAAAAAATTATATTGATCTCAGCCTCGATATTGTGCTCTTTCCTTATACAAAGGCTGAGAATTCAGTTATACACAGATAATTCCAACTCTTACTAACGCCAAGAATACGATGAACATGGCAAATGCCTACAAACATCACAAAAAAATAAAAACGAAATCGCCCGTTGTGTCATTTCCAACACCAGAACAGACGCACTCTGCTTGTAAGGCAGCACTTGAGGTAGGAGCAGGCCGATCTCACAGCGAGTCCCAGGACAGTCAGAGTACTTCCTGCTTTGCAAATACGAGGCTGCACATGACTGCAGTAAAAACCTTAACTGACATTCTTAGGTTTTTTTTGTACATCTTAATTTCTCATATTCCTTAACTGAACTGCCTAGATTTTAAAAGACTAGCTGCCTGATAAAATTATATAAAAACTAAGCTAGTTCATCTATGATGAAGTCTGAAACTCTACATTAAAATGTTTGCTTAATAAAAGTTAAGTAATATATCTATTAATATTGCTATAGTTTAACACATTTACTGGTAATTCTTACTTTTCAGTATAGGGGGTAATTGCATTAGTAAGTCATGTATTGCATAATAGCGGTGATGTTTCCTTAGCAGTGATAGCCACACCTGTAATTCCAGTGCTCAGGAGGCTGAAGTAGTGTGCACATTGTTCGAGGTCAGCCTGTGCTACAAGCAAGCTCCTGATTCAAAAGCAAAATATATTCCCATGCTGGGATGCCTCGCCCAGCCTGGATTCAGGGTTGGTGCTTGGCCCTACCTCAGCTGGATGTGCCAGGCTTTGTTGACGCCCACGGGAGACCTGCCCCTCTCTGAACCGATGGGGTGGGGGGATGGGAAACTGTGGTTGGTATGCAAAATAAAATTTTAAAAATTTAGTTTAAAAAATTCTCCCCAAAAATAAAACATCAAACAAACAATCACACGTCGCCTTAAAGCTGGGTAACGGACGTGCTGACACCTTCACGTCTGTCCCGCCCGAGGCCGCTGCGGGCCCCAGGCCGGCTTCTGAGGGACAGACTCCTGCCAGCTCCCAGACAGCCTCAGGCCCTGGCTCCTCCGAGCAGACCCACAGAGCTCTCAATTCCCACTGAGAAACGACGGACAATACCTGCTGCACGGCGAACTAAAGGGGCGGCCTTCCGCCGTGAGACACGCGGGTTGCGTGAGGCCACACTGTCAGGGCGCATGCGTGGCGACCGCAGGGCCTGCTGGGTAGCGCAAGGGGGCTGCTGGGAGGCACGAGGCAGGCACGAGGCAGGGTGCTGAGAGGCACGAGGCAGGCAGCTGAGAGGCACGAGGCAGGCATGGGGCGGGGTGCTGGGTGGCATGAGGCAGGGTGCTGAGAGGCACGAGGCAGGCACGGGGCGGGGTGCTGGGAGGCACGAGGCAG